GAAGAGAACATCATCTGCCAGCATATTAATGTTCCAAATTATGCACATCCTTCTTCATAAAGATGGTTTCATTAACTCCAAGTCAAACAATATTGATTCTCAATGTGACACAAAGATAGGTGATTGCTGTAATCCAACTTACAAAGCAATCTGAACAGCAGCTGAGGCAGGAGGGAATGGAAACTCTTGGCAAGTGTTTTTGCACTGTTAGAGCAGTAGAATAATACTTTAGCCAAAAAAATTTAGACATGCACAGATAATTTAAACACGCTTCCTCTGAAACTAGAAGAGGAAAAAATGCTGCCTAATTTCCAGTTTCTTAATTTCATTATTACTACTATGAAAGTAGCTCTGAACAAACTGTTTCACAGAGTATAAACTAACACATCACTGCATTTTTGGGGAAAAGAGAGAGTGTATAGAGTTTTCCAAGAAGAGCAAAACTTTCCAAATAAGCTTTATTATTCTTACAGCAAGGTTACCTCCACACCAGCCCTTAAACAAAGAAATGTTCAGAAAAGGGATTCTCTTAACACTTACTTTTAGCTTTATACTTGATATGTGCTATATAAATTCCATGTGTCCCTTTATCATTTTCATTGACAGATTCAGTTCCGCTACAACAAATTGCTGACTTTCTACCACCTCCAATAATACAATGCTTCACTGCCTTGCTTTGAATATGTTAAGACTTGTCACTGTGATTTCTTCTGTCTCATCGGTGTATATGTCTAATACATATCCAGGCACTATGCAGACTCTGTGATATGGATGGCTTTTTCCGGTGGAGAAAAATCCTTGCCCAAATCCCAAAGTGTTGAACAGAAGCCAAATGGATGTGAGTTGAAAATTAATACTGATGAGTCATGTCAGGGAAAGTAGTGAAATCTCTTTTGGGTCAGACAATCAAGTGAGTCGAGCTCTCCTAAGTAACATATACACCACAAGGAGAGGAAGAAACTGCAGTGGAGTATCAATACTTTAATAAGATGCAGAAAGCCATAGAGAGGTGCTGAATAATCTGATTCTTCCTGCGTAAATATGAGTCCTGTAGCACCAGACCCCTCCTGACTCAGACAATCTGACTCATTCTGTACCGTCCTTGCGACTTCAATATATTTTCTGCCACAACAATCCTTTCATCTTCCCCCACGTAAACCCGAGGCATTTTGTCAAGACGGACACATTCGGTATGACAAGATTTTCTGCATCAGAGTTCTTTTTCAGATCTTTTCGCTGCTCCCCTGCATGCCCAGGCCATGTCCCTTCCTGCCACCCACTGCCTCTTCAAAGCATGAGCACACATACACACAAACAACACACAAAATGCTTACTAAAAAGGAAGGAAGGAAGGACATCATTCCCACTAGTTTCCAGAATCAACACTAACAAAGCAATCCATCGCTGAAAGCCATGTCAATAGGTACAGCCACCCTGCTAGGTAAGAGAGAACTAGGGGGTGATTTTTAGCACTGGACTGTCCTCACTCTTCACCTGTTGGCTGGCTCTCTGGTCCTGTTTTCAGCTATCCCAACAGCTTCTGTAAGTGCAACCAGTGGAGGACTTACCCATTTGATATACTTTGAATTACCTCCACCGTTCTCCATCTCCTTTGATGAATGTGTCCATTTTTCCCTAAAATATAAAATTATTCATTATTTACTGACCTAATATATGTTGCTAATAGGTGCCCTTACAAGGGCTTTGGGAAACATGAAGGCACTTGAATTTGCCTCTTCTTAAATGTGCACTTTGCTGCTCTCAATGGAACACAAGAATGGGCTATAGCACACTACGCTGGCTAAGGGAAAGATCCTACAATGTAAAAGTGGATACCACCAGCATGAAGGCATAGTCAGTGCCGAATGAGAAAATGCCACAGTCTGACTAGTAGTGACATTTACTGTGCCAAAAAACCTTGCCAGGGTCAACGTTGCCAAATATTACACTACATTAATACACATTACATAGTGTACATTATATTAATGTAAATATTATATTACATTAATTGTTATTCTTACATAAAACTCCACAATTCTTAGGCCAGCATGCAGCACATCATCTTCCTTTGAGTGTATTACAGCAAGCACCAGTAAAGTGTGCTTTATAATGAAAAATACCAAATGCTTTAATATTACTTTCAGAAGGAAAACTGTTTTTATTTTCTGTCTCGGTTGTAAAAATAAAATAATTCCAGTCATGCAGAGCCAGAGCTAGTCTTTGGTTAGATACACTCTCCTATCCTTATTAAGACAGATATGATAAAGAACACCAAATAAAGCTTTGAGAAATGAGCTGAAATACATTTTCTACTCTCCTTATCCTCTCCATCTGCCCCTTAATCATGGTCATAGCGACATGGTTCCAGGGGTGGGCTGCTAGACAAATAGACCTGGGTTTCTTCTGTGCTTCTATTCTTGTCAGCACTCCAGCCCAGCAGGATGAGAAAGGAAGGAGAAGGGAGAACAACTGGAAGTAGACACAGGTGGGCCTGGCACATCCACACTTTCAGGTGTCCTGATGTGTTTCTGCAGCCCATTCTTTCCTCTCATAGATGTCATGATGGGTACGGCTGCCCTGTTGGCTTTTTAGTAAATAACTCAATACATTTTGGTTTCCTTTTCTGTAAGATTGAGTCCAGGCTGAACAGACCTCAAGTTTCCTTGTCAGTTTCTTTACAGAGGTTAATGCATAAGAATAAAAATGAAGACCAGTTTGGTAGCTACTTTAGAAGTGTTTACTCACCTCAGTTATGATGCAGTACAGAGTGGTGGAACTTCCTGGGCAGGGAAGAAGAAATAGAAAGAAATTAAATACTGTTGACAGAATAAGGTGAAAAAAAAACCACTGAAAGTTAAGCAGAGGTACAGCAAGTGTTTAGTCCTGCACAAATTCTCAAATACTTGTCTGCTACAATTCTCTGAAACAGTCAATCCTGGTCTCGACCAGGCACCCAGCTAATGATTCCTCTGTTCCTACCTCTTACACCAACAGCAGATCAAAATCAAATTCACATTCTTTCAACATTGTTAAAATGCAAGGAATCTCTTTAAGATGAATCCTTAACAAAGGGAGAAAATTGTCAACAGAGCATGCTTTAGCTCACCAATCCAATAAAACCTTTCAATCTGCCGAATAAAATACCTATGTGCAATGCTAACATAAATGAGCAGGGAATTTCTGATGGATAGAGTTTATATGAGAGATAATTTTAGCAGATCCACAAGTCATCACAGGAGATCTGCTTCTGTCTTTTAGTATAGTTGTTGTGACACCTCCCATGCCTCTAACATTTTAAATGAATGCACAGTAATCTTCAGGCTCCACACATCAAATATGCCTCTGTGAGACCAAACCTCGGTTCTTTACCTCCTGCTGTTTTTTTCAGGGGCAGTCTGTGCTTATTACAATTTTTGTTTCTTGAAAGGTTATTGGACCACTAGTAAACCAGAAGAAGTTAAGGAGGGAGGGAGTAAAGAAGACAGGATCTAAGACAGCCTCAATTCTTGAGAGTCAGAAAACAGGTTTTGTCAGGGATCGATTTACTGTCCAGCCACTTCTAGTGGAGTAGTTTGCATCTTCCTTGGAAAACTTGCTTTTGCCAGGATTTTTGAGAACGTGCCAGCCAAAAGGACTGTTCTTTTTCTCCTGGATGCCTAAAAATATACAGTCATAGTAGCCAGGGAGACTCAGCTACTGGGTCAGAGAAAAGAAAATTGTTCTTCACACATAGACAGTAGACCCAAGAACCTGCTTGTCAAAGGAAGTTAGGGATGTAAAAAGTCTACATGGCTTTGAGGAGGGGGACTGGGCAGGTACTCAAAAGTGACAACCAGTGACAGGTACTGGGGAGACAAATTGTACCTCAAGCTGACAAAATCCCCTAAACTAGCCCACAGCTTTTGCACCTCCTTTGCATCACCAAACAGCTAAACTTTTTCTAAATCTCAGAAAATGACATCCGTGCACTTCGAAGCTTTTTTATTTTAGAGAAATTCAGAAAAGAATCAAGCATTCGTAAGGAGCTAAGTGATCTGTTTTGACACAGTCATCATTCTTGCAGGATACACTTTTTTTGACTCAGAAAGTGTGTTTGCAGAAAGGTTGTCATTCAGGAAGAAATAAGAATTTATAACAAATCATGTAAATTTAGTTCTGGAGGCAATAAATCTGTCTTTGGAATAATACAGTCCTCAGAAATATTTCCAGAACAAGGTTATCTAAGAATATGGGATCAGATTCCAGCACACCAGGAAAGTGAGGAAATATTTTTATATCAAGAATACAAACAATAAAAATCCTGTGTCAGATTTCAGGAGAAAAAAAGGCTAAAACATTATAGTAGCCTAATTCTAGATGAATGACTACAGAAACAGGTTGGCTTTCTACTGATCAAAATCAGTTTCCAAGTGCTTGCTGCTGTAGACAACAGAAAATAAAAATCAGCAGAGATATGAAAAATAAAATCATGACAGTGTGTTTTTTTATTTGCTTGTGGCTCATAACTGAATGTAACATCAACAGAATTTTGTTAAAGCTTTTTGGACTGATTTTTCAGGGGAGGTTTTGTCTGATTCCCCACCCTCTGACAAAGATAACCATCTTGCAACTTGTCTTACATCCTTATTTCAGATTCCCAGCTCTCTAAATCATATGCTTCTGATTCCGTAAATGCATCTGCTACAGGAGCTGATACAAGTAGCTGGAACCTCTTTTCTTACTCTATAATCTAATACACTTAGCAAGCCAATGAATATGTGTGAAGGGAGGGGCTTTCTGGCTAAGGGGCTCCTCACAGGGGAACAGCTGTTGCAACAGCAAAATCTTAACCGAAGCCAGGCAAACACACTTACTCGCCTCTCTCAGTGGCTTTGTGCATCTAGGTCTGGCACGACAGCTCCTCCCCTCTCTTCCTCTCTCTGCATAAAGTGAGCAAACTGGCACAGAGAAACTTAAAGAAGACCAGATCTCGATTGTGATACGTTTCAGAAGATCCACTAATGGCCTGGATCAGCAATTTCTCCTGGTTTAATCACTTTGCTATACATGACGAACATTTCAGCAGGTACTTAAACAGCACTGAGGATTACTTAGCCTTCCTATGTGGGCCCAGACAGAGCCATCTGTTCTTGCCAATGGCTTTGGTGTACACCCTGATCTTCATTGTTGGGGTGGTAGGTAACTTCTTAGTTTGCCTGGTAATCCTCAAGCACCGGAATATGAAGACCCCAACTAATTACTATCTCTTCAGTCTCGCTGTCTCAGACCTGCTCTTGTTGCTTTTTGGAATGCCACTGGAAGTCTACGAGATGTGGAGCAACTACCCCTTCTTGTTTGGGCCCGTTGGCTGCTATTTCAAGACGGCACTCTTTGAGACAGTGTGTTTTGCCTCTATCCTCAGCGTGACCACAGTCAGCGTGGAGAGATATATTGCCATCCTCCATCCTTTCCGAGCCAAGCTGGAGAGCACTCGCAAGCGTGCCCTGAGGACCATCGTGGTGCTCTGGGTCCTCTCTGTCCTCTTCGCCCTCCCTAATACAGGCACCCATGGCATCATGCTGCAGTATTTCCCCAACGGCACCCTCGTCCCTGGCTCTGCTACCTGCACTGTAGTCATGCCCATGTGGATCTACAACTGTATTGTCCAGATTACTTCCCTCCTCTTCTATGTGCTGCCTATGGGGGTAATAAGTGTGCTGTACTATCTGATGGGGCTAAGAGTAAGTCCTTCTCCACCTGTGTCCAGTGTTTCCTTAGCTCATCCTTATGTGTTTGTGTCTGTATGTGTGTTTTAAGTGATTGCACCTTTTTCTTGCCCGTGCTTTTTTCCCCCAAAAAAGCAAAAGTATTTCAAACCTTTGAAAACAGTGGTTCCAACTCCTTTTTTGGTGTAATCCCATGCTAAAATGAATGTAGCTATGTTGGGGAATAATTTACCCCAATCTTTTTTTAAAAACTTACCTTTGCTGCTGTTCACATTTGAACTTTACTTAAACATCCAAGTCTGTGGATTGATTCCAGCCTCTCAGAGATTTGCATCTTTGTGGTAGGTACCAGAAGGAAATAGATCAGAAAGAAAATGCAAAAAGAATAAAAAGTATCAGGCAAGTGATTGAACCTTGTGTATTATTTGTTCCCTCTTCTTGTGTCGGTGGAATTTCCATTGCATTGCTGTATTTTTCTCCTTCCCTGGAGATGGTGATAATATTGAGTTGTTAAAACTCACAAAGCTGTCATAAACTGAAATGCTACCTTATTGCTGCAGCTAGCAAATTCAGCAATTGTTTCTTTATATACCTACGGCATAGTTTTACCATCAGTTAAGGCTGCCTTAGAGTTCATATTCATTCTCTCTTCAGAAAGTGACACTAGTTTTACCAAGTATTCAGCATTTGAATACATGGATAAAACAATCAGTATCACAATATTGTAAAGCTATGTAGCACAATACTGAAATGCACTGCTTATCATAGAGAGTTAATGACTTTTCTTCTCATGTATTACATAAATTTCAAAAATATAAATGCTACTTTATTGCACTGAATATAACTTAAAGTTTAAAAAGCCATGTCTGATCATATAGCAATAAAGGGGTGGAATATGCTAGTACACACAAATGAACTTACCGAATAATGCACAAGAAATCCAACCAGATCTGTGCTGGTGTATACATCATTTTGTTGTGCTGGCTGATACTTACTGTTATCTGAAACTATATATAAGCATTTTTTCCTTACCCAGGAAAAGCCACAAGTACTAACTGCCAGAAATCCATTGCACTCAGTAGATCTTCGAAGTAATGAATGGGTTAAATTATCTTCACAGCCCAGCAGTTGTTTTGGGGTCTTTACATAGTTTCACTGAAAATTTTGCAAAATAGGACCTGGAGGGAGGAAAAAGTGCTGAAAATACAGCTGTTTAAAAAGGAAAGAGAAATCCCCAAACTAATAAAAAGAAGTCTTGAAGACCGTGATAGCTTCTGTTTGTGCCAGCAGATATTCCTAATTACCATCCCAGCAGAGAAGCTAGGTACCAGACAAGGGCTGCTCCCCAGGACTTCTGTGTATTCACAGACACATTCAAGCTGTCTTTCCTAATGGCTGCAGTGTTCATTGCTTATGCATCTGCTTTTATGTATATCCTACTCAGACTTCCAAATCTTGAACAACACCCATCCTGCATTATGTCTGCATTGTGCTCTGAATTGCACTAGGCAAGACAGTTTCATTTTGTCAGCTGAAATGATAGAATAATTGTGTATATATATAAAATTTTTCAAGAGAAGACACTTTCTATCTTCTCACAGAGGATGAAATCTATGAAGCTTCAGCAACACTCCAGAGTCTCCTGCATGTCATGTATTGTTCATAGACTGTAGTAGAAAAGCTCAGAGTTGATCCAAAGGTTGTACAGCAGCTCAAATTCAGCGAACAGAGGCATAGATTTTCCAAGTCCAGGCTTTGGGGAAACGCATTTCATCACCAAAGTTTCTCCCTCAAGCTTTGTTAGCGTTCAGGAGAGCCTCAAGGTTCGATACAGAAGGCAACGTTTGACACATTAGGCAGCTGTGAGAGGGTAGCAAACACAGGTCATACAGTAGATGAGTTTATTTTAATTTTTATTCCTTGCAAAAAGGAAAAAACGTATTTGTCTTTCTCACTGGGAAATTCATGGCCAAACAGAAACTTCAGGTTGATTACCTCATGATCAATTACCTCATGATCTACTTGGATACAATTTTAAGGCTTGACAGTTTAATGCTATTGTCAATAGATAGTTCCAGCATTAAAGAACAGTGCACTAATGATTACACTGTAGTCTCATCGGATTTGATAGTAGAAGTTTTCTGCTACCTCTTTCATGAGGTCCTCATCACAGGTGCTTTTAGGACCAGTCCCTAAATTAGCCATGTTCATCTTTAAACCCGGTTCAGCTGTTGGGCTACTGGTTGCAACCTATAGCCAAAAAGCTGAGGAGGAAGAGGAGAGGAGAAAAGAAGAGAACATGGGGAAAAGGCTGCTTGTAGAAGCTAATCCCTGCAGCACTGGTAGAGATGGGGTGGCATTGCTGGGGAAAAAGTCTGCATTGCAGCACGATTCAGCACAGGGTCTCTGTCCATTTCCTTCAAACTGATCTCTAAAGGACACAGCCATAGGTGGCCTTCTTTGCTTGTTTAAAAGTCGGATTCTGTTTAACTAGGATTCTTTGACAGTGAATGAAAGGAGTGGAGAGTCCAGAGACCTATATATCCCACCCACTTCAGACATCTATGAGAGGATGTAGATGATCAGACAGGACTAGACTGACCTCACCTAGGATGATCCTTCTGTTGAGACACTTCTCTTAGTGTTACTTCCCCTCAGTAACACATTGGACACACTGGTAATTTTTATTTCAACTATCTTTGGATCAAGATAATTTTTTCTTGACAATGTACAACTGGTCCAGATTTTCTCATCAAAATCTGTTCTGCCCCCTAAATGCACAGCTGTTAAAATCAGAATTGTTTGTGGACAGTTGAGTGCCTTTGGCTAATTTCTGCAGAGCCCAGCACACTCCTGGAAGGGTCTGTTCTCTTTCCATGGAGGTTGTCCTGCAAACCTTGCACCCAATAACAAATTTTTCTTTGCAAAGTTGCATGCTTTAGCACAAGCTATGTGGTTTTTTAAATATCAATTTTCTGTTTCAGCTGGAGAGAAAGTTTGATCACCACTCATGTCAGACAGGTCAAGGAGCTTACAGAAAATGGTTCTCCTGCTTTTGCCGAGTGGCCTCACTAGGTTTACCCGGGGGTAGGTGAGACCCGAATTTCACTCTGCCTTTTGATTTCTAGTATGAAATTCTATAGCTAATAAACATATGGGGGAGGAAATCCAATTTTCAGCTTCTTGCTCCAGACACTTTTAATTCTCTTGCAGTGAATGGGTAACATTCATCTCCAGGCAACCTTCATATATGCACAGTGACGTAAAAGTAACCACAACCTCGGCTGGAATTCTCCCTCTGCCACACCATTGGCATGAACTCAAGTTACAACCTTTGCTGGGGATTCCTTTTTTTTTTTTTCTCCCCTTTGTCATTGCTCATTGTTTTATTAAATTGCAGCTGCTGAGTTATTCTTAGTAGTTACACCTCCGTCTACCATCAGTTGAGGCTCAAGAGAAGCCTTACAGTATCATAAAAAATGACAGGAGAAAGGTGAAAAATAAAGATACATGTGTCTCTAGTTTATTACAGCATCAGAGCACTGTATTCTCTGAGGCTTTGGAATATGCCTGGAATAGATTACGGCTGAGACTGAAAACCACTGAAGGGAAACTAGGCATTTTAATCAATCTGAGCAGACATTTCTCACTAGACATGTTACAAATCAGCTGAGCCTCTTCCTTCAGCAACTGTGTCTATGACTAAAAGTTACAAAGGGAATAATGTAATCCACAGGAGCCTGAACTGCACTATAAATTACTATAATTCGATTTACATAAGTTTTCCCTTTTATGGGTTTTATAAATAAATAGAACATTGAAAGAAGGTCTTTTCCATCATCCTTACAGAAAAGTATTGTCAATCAAAAATCAGGAAGCAAAGGCATAGTGTAAAGGGTAAAAGAAAATGGCACAAGTAGTGTATTCTCACAAGACTTTTACAAATCCACATTGATTTCTATCTTGTCCCTCATTCCTGATATTCTTTCCCATGTAATTAAAAGCTTTGTTTCCAGTTTCTCTTAGTTGAAAAAAGCATCACTCCAAATCTGTTGGCTAATCAGAAGTTCCCACTTCAGGAACCTGGGTCCAATTATGTACTCTCCATAGATGATTTTTTTTTACAATCAAAGCAATTGTCCTGATTATCTAGCCCTGGCCTTATCATCACCAAAGCACCAGTGCTCTCTTATTCTTTACGTCCATTTTTTAGAAGTCCAGGAAAAACTACTGGAGGCAAAAAAACAAAACCTTGCTGCAACAGAGCAGTATGTGGCTGAATCTGTGCATTTTGTGCACACTGGCTGTCTGCAAGAGAGCAGATATGGGTTTGTTCATCAGACGAATTGAATATCAATTAGTCCAAACACTCAGGCCATGAAACAAACTCCCTTGAATTCTACAGGATTTTTTCCTGTGATTACAGCTGTGCTTCACTGAGGCCTCTCTGGGTATTTTTTGGATTGTCAGTTTGCACTCAATTATGGGGAAACCTTTTAGGAAAATAAACAAACAAAGAATATTTTGCTAGTAGAGAAAATAAAGCCTAGCGAAAAACTGTTGAAAGTGAACACAGACTGTGAACCAAATATTGATTCATTGAGAAAGGACAAGTGTGGAACTGAAATATAAATTTGCTATAAATATGAAGTCTCAGATGCATAAAAGCTACAGATTGTTTTGAACCTAAAGCTTCGATGTTTCCCTAGACTAAAACTGAAATTTAAATTCAGATTTTTTTCAGTGAGCCCTGAGTTGCCCTAAATTTTGCGTTCTCAAACTACAGCTATCAAAACATCAAACAGGCTGTGTCTGGTGGAGATGTCATCTCCTGTCTAAGCTCTCCTTCGGTTTCCATCCTTTTGCCAGTTGAAAGGAGACAAATCTTTGGAAGTGGAAGAAATGGCTGTGAATGTTCAGAGACCATCCAGGAAATCAGTCACCAAGATGTTGTGTAAGTAGCGAGTCCTTCTGTGTTTTATTTACTATGGACAAGAGGATCACCAGGTCCTGAAGCGTATCAAGCAAATTCACCAGATGCAAGAGTTATTAGATGAGTAGCTGTGATCCAAAAAAAAAAGGCTTATTGCTGTTTTATCTGGACTGACAGAACATAGGAGCGAAACACTATGGCGAACTATCAAAAGACACAGGAGGCAAATTTTCCTCCCCAGTATGAGAGGAGGTTGAGCAGACCTAAATGGCAGGTGCATGCGTGGCAGCTCTCTAATATCCCTCACTCCAAACCTGGCTTTTGCAGCCTTTAGGAGGATGCCTCTTTTTCAGAGTGCAAATAGTCGATCTTGTACATTTTTGAAGAAGGACGTACATCTGTTTTGCATCACGCCACAAGCTCTGCTTATGAACAGGAAGGTTCTGCCAAACTGTATACATCACCTACTGCTGACTTAACCCCTTAGACCTTCCCAAGAATAAGTAGGGCCTAGACAGACCTCTGCATTGTATAGCATTCAGGAGAATTTGTGCTCCAATCACCCTGAAAGCGCTGACATCACTTTGTAGTTTAAGGCTGTGTTTAAGGAAAATATCATCTTGCTGCCAAGATGGTGTTTATGCAGGAAACATAAATAATCTTCAATATTTCCTGCAACAACATTATTCTTTTAGGCAGCTTAAGTCACCTTCTGAACTAGGAAACTGTATTTTGAAGGCAGCCTGATTTTCTGTGCCTCATGACTGTGTGCAGATGTTCAATAGGACCAAAGTCTGGAATGGGTTTGCAAGAGTCCTTACTAGAACCACCTCAGGCCAAGCTGTGTGTGGAGGAAAACTCTTTTTTTTTTTATGCTGAACAGCACACCCAGACAAACTTCGCATCAGCGGGTGATTCCTATGGCCTTATCCGGCTATGTGATGTACAAATAGTGTGCAGAAGAAATGAACTCCAAGGCATAATGGAGTCATTGTGTCCCAGGTTCCACGGATGAATTCAGATGTCTCACTGGCAGTTTCTTCATTAGAATCTGTATAGGCCACAACATTCCCTCACCGTTGCCTGCTCTCTTTGGATGTAATTGTGTGTGCATGCAGTGAGTTATACAACAGAGAAATTAGCTGAAAATTTGTTCTATTAGCTGGTAATGTTTTTCAGTGAACACTGCAGAAAAACAGAAAGGATGGCAAAAGTTTTGGAACATTGAATAAAATTTGTATATTTAGGCCTTCATCTAGCTTTCTGAATTCTCTTTGCTCTGTGCAGGCTAGTGAACCATAACCTTACATAAATGACTCATTTTTCTTCTCTGCTTTCTCTATGCTAGTTGTCCTTGTGATGGTTTTTGCTATCTGCTGGGCTCCTTTTCATATAGATCGACTCTTCTTCAGCTTTGTTGCGGAATGGACTGAGCCTCTGGCTAATATATTCAACTTAATTCATGTGGTGTCAGGTAAAGCTTTCTCCTTCCACTTGCACAGGGGCTGGGAAAAAAGCATTGGTGAGCAGTTTACTTGAAACATGTACTCATTTATTTTTTAGGTGACATGAGGCATGCATGGAAAAATTCTTGGGTTCTGGTATGCAGTGATGAGAATTGTGCCTTAAAAATGATGCAAGTTTCTAGAACTTTCAAGATCTGGATATGTTGTCCCACACAGTTGTCTGAATATTTACAAAGAATGAAAAAAAACCCCATAGGATATCATATATCATTACCAGCTGCTTTTCCTTCTTGGAAATGTTCAGAAATGAAGTCTGCTGTCATTCAGTTGCTTTTAACAAATACACAGCAGCAGGCATCATCCTCCAGAGGGTCTCTCTGTCAAACAGGAAACCTCACCAAATAGCAAGACAAAAGACTTACATACTGCTCAGAACTGGTCGATATAACCAAATATTTATGGCCCCGCCAACCATAAAATGAAGGCTTTTTCAAAGAGGAATCTTAGTTTCAGTCTGCCATGGGTAAACACTGAATGTGGCTATTAGGCAGCTCAGATAAATCCAAACTCGTGCAATTGTCCTGGTGTGTGTTAAGAAATTAGCTCCCCTCAGCTGGAAGTTATCTTCTGACAGCTCTGATGGGGGCACCAGCTGTGCAAATCCTGCTGTGGGGATGAGGGATGTGCTGGAGGCAGTTCAGTACCTCTAAGAGAGAGCTGGTTCCTGCAGAGCTGGAGATAGTGAGCTCCAGCTAATGCTCTCTCCCACTTCCCTTTCACGGGGTGCTGCAGTTCCTGAGCTAGCCTTGGCAAGACGTCCTTCTGCCTCTGCCAGGATGGTAGCAGGCAGAGGTGTGGTGTCACTGCAATCACCCTTGCACCCAAGCTTTGTAGAGCAGTACAGGCAATGAAGATTTTTTTCTCTTCAGAGATCATTCCACACCCATATGAGGTTTCTTTCTCTTTTCCCCTACCCTTATTCTCCTAGGTGTTTTCTTCTATCTGAGCTCTGCTGTGAACCCCATCATTTACAATCTGTTGTCCCAGCGCTTCAGGATGGCTTTCCTCAGTGTGATTTCTCCTTGCTGCAAACACTGGGCCCCTAAACATCCCACTAGCAAGATTCCTGCCCAGCAGAGCATCTTTGTGATTGAGGACCACAATCTGACAGACGCTGCTGAAGACACAAGTCTCCCCGGCACTCACAGGACATCTGTCAGCAGTTCTCAGCTCTCCACTGGTCTGTGACTTTCCATGTTGTGATCCAGATGAGAGAAAAGTTAAAGAAAATAACTTCAAGAAACAAAAAAAGAAGAGGCCCTCCTAAAAGACTGATTTCAGCAAGAAGAGCTCACAGACAGTGTCTTGAATGAATGAACGAGGAGATTATAATTAGCTGTTGATTGAGAAACATTGTGTTGCCCTTAAGCTAATAGGAGGGCTGGAAATCTCAGCTTACTGGCTGCAAGCTATGCCAGTGAAGACCTGCTCTATATGAACAGCACACGCTCCCAATGTTAGCAGCACATTTTGTGCACCAGCTTAAACATCAGTTTTTACTCAGTTTGAAATGGGCCAACTTGCTGCACAAACCTTGTCTACCCACTTCTAGCTTTAGGCAAGCCATTCTCACTTCTCTCTCCTACGACCTTCTTGAGGTGTGGCGGTTACAACCCTCTCTAGGAAATGTGAGCAAGTAGGCATGAACAAGAGCAGCTCTGAGCTGGCCTGATAAACATCAGGTGCCGGCACCAGCACTAGCTATTTCTGACCCAGAAGAATCAAGGAGCCAATAATTGTAAAATAAATCTAAAACAAAGTTTCGCTTTCTGATGTAGGTGAAGATTCAGGTAAGGATGTCGATTAATGCCTTGAATGACTTTGTCAAGAAAACTTACCCTGTTGTGGGTGATTTTTAACAAGTCTCAAAGGCACTGCCCTATCTCTTCATAGTATGTCTGACAATGTCTGCACAGTGCTGAAACAGCATATGTGTGCCACAAATCCATCTACATTACCTGGGAAATACCCATTACTGGAGGCGGAGGATGTTTCTGGCATGACTCCTTAGTGAGGGAGATCTGCCCAGGAAATGTGAAAAGTCTGCAGCCTTTGCAGGCTTACCCCGTGCATCAGACAGTTTTATTTTCGCTCATCTGCCTGAACTGAATCTGATCATGTACAGATTGTCTGTGGTAGGTCCCTGCTATGCCCCATGTCCTGAAGTTTGCAACAACATCTTTTCATTGCTTGAACTTTACTTACTTATATATTGTCTCTGCCAGTGAAACCCTGGGGTCCTGCTTCAGCAGACTTCACACCTGCCCATAGCAGGTGGGTTGCAGAAGTCAGAGATCTACATGGGGTTAACAACCAGCAGGAAATAGCCTGGAAACCATTCACAATGGAATTGAGACTAACGTGCAGGATCAGAGAAGCTGATACAAAGGCAATAAAAAAGAGAGTTTTGCAGTGATTTTTTATCTACTGAATTAAGTTTTCGCAAAGCACAATGTAAGGTCTGGGAAACTCTCCTGCAACCCAGTCATGCAAACCTGCTGAAGGCAGCACGCTTACCTCCAAGTAGAGTTCCTGAACTCTACTGACTGCAAGGTCAGGACCCTACAGAGTTTTGTAAAAGGAGGCCAGGGTGAATGCATTACACGACAGAGAATTTTACAAAACTCTGTGTCCCAAGTTTCAAAGCCTGCTTGTTGTGTTTCAGAGAAATGCTTCCCTTGTGCATCACGACACAGGACTATGTTTAGCCACCACGCTGGGCTCAGGCTTGGTATGCACTGCCACAGAAAATCATCCTCTCTGTGCCATCAGGGGGCTGGGACTTGCTTACATAGTCAGAGTACACAGAATTATCATAATGAATAAGAACATAAGTTCTTCAAAGATGATACACTGTATACATAAAGGCTTACTCCAGTCTGGTCATCTGGATGACATTTCCTACCATAGGAGGAAGGGGTTATGCTGCTACAATTGGATCTTACCTTGTTTGCACCGAAGTCTTTTGTTTTTTCCACCCCTCTTGCTGTGGGACTCCTAGGTGAGGAGAGACCTGAGGAGCTCATGGCAGCTGGTGAGTCAGCTTTTCCTGCAGCACAAGGCAAATTTTATCCCATGTTTTCTGTCAGACCCATTTTAACAGCTGCAATCTTGAGAAACAAGCTACAGAGAGGGTAACAGGTACATACAAGGCCCTGGGGAGAAAAGGCAATGCCGCTCCCTGAAGACACAGCTGAAATACTTTGCCACCCCCAAGTGGACGCTTGAGTGTTATCAGTGACGTTTACATTTGTAACCAGTTTCGTATTAACATTTTTCCCTCCACCAGACATCAAAATGTATTTTCCTCCTGGATTTGCTGTGCCAATGGTGCCTTGCTGCTGGTGAGATGCCCAGGTCCCTGTTCTCTCACCCTGTGCAGGACACTGAGCTCTGCTCCCACTAATGGGCTGAGGACCACCAGGGCAGAGACTATGCAGGATTTCCTCACTTGTGCAACTCCCTAACTGAGCCCAGGGGTTATCCTCCTTGTCCCAGCTAGGTACCACCGAAAGCGTGTCTTCTCCGCTGTCCTAGACACCCAGCCAAAGGAGTGAGGAGACAGCATAGTTTGACATACTCACACATCCACCATATGATGGAGACATTCCTCTCCAAGATTTTGCGGCTTTGTGAATGTGTCTTACGCATTTAGAACCAGACATCGTCTTGTGTTGATGCATGGAGAGCCATCCACAAGTGACGCCCCTCTCTCCTCCTCCTTTCAAGGGAGAATTGCAACCTCGGCTGCAAAGCTTGGGGTTGTCAAATGCGTCTCTTGACTTGCAGTTGAGCACGCAGACCTGCAGTCAAGGCTGGAATGTGAAGCTGTAGGGTGAAGATTTTGTGTGATCTTGAACAATGACCAGGATCTCACTTTCAGTTCTGAACTAGCATTTGTGTTTTTTTGTCCTAAAAGCAGTTTTTTTGACTTTTAATTTGGCTTCAGTCAAAAGAAGTGGCACTCATAGCCAAAAATGACTGAGCTTTTCTGGCCAAACATCAAAAGCAAAGCTGAAAACATTTAGTCTTGCACCAAGTCAAACATTCTGTGAAAGTGTTATTGGGGCAGACATGTCACAATCCTTCTAAATTCTACTAAAAATAAAATAAATATGGTGTAAAAACATGGGCTGGCTTGAGGTTGAGTGCTCCAAGTTATGTTCCTTGTGACAGCACAGCTCAGTACCCCCTCATTCCTGAGGTGTGAACTCTAGAAAGTAGTCGATGCACTTTGTCCTTGAAAAGTAGTTCATGTCTATTGGAGGCTTTTCTTCCCAAAATGTCATGGCTTGAGTTATTTATCACTCTGATATTTACCTGGCTGAATTTTAGAAGCTGGATCCAAATGTGAAAATATTGGCAAGATGGATAGAGATGTTATGAAAGCTGATGACATTCCTTTATTCATACTTCTAGCAGCTTTCATAACCAAATGCTGAAAAATGTTGGCAACTGACTGAGAAAAAACTCCTCTTGAAAGACAATGGAGAACTACTCACTTTCCCCCAAAGTGGCCTGGTGTGATAAAAACATATTTATTTGAAATCAAACCTGACTTCTTAGACAGAACTGTCTATTGATTTATTTCTCTGCTGCTGCTTCCCTCTGCAAAACGTGCAAGTGTGCGAACGGAAAGTGTGGAGAGCAGGGGCAATGCTCCACCACTGTGAACCAAACATGGACAGTTTGAAATGCATTGCAAGGAAGCACTTAAAGGAGAGAAGAATTGTTTGGTTTGCCAAGGAGTGATACTCAGATCTAATGCCAGGTTCAATACTGGAAAAAACATCATGACAGCAAGTGGACAATTCTGTTAAGTTTATATGAAGAATTTTTGGACACTACTGTATTTTGAAGTGTTTAAACCATGGCTTATCAGTAATACTAAACATACAATTCAGCTGCTAAGCTGGTTAGATGTATCTGTGTGTAACACGAAAATAAACATATTAGAGTCTCTCTTCCTCTGTCTGGTCCATCCTCCAGAAATCTTTGTGCTTCTTGTTTCTCCCTCTGATTTCACATGAGAAGCAAGAGATGGAGATGTCCTGGATGTTCAGCCAGCACCAAGCGCAGGACACCAAGGACAAATCACAGTACTTTAAAAAAACATGCAGATTATTTCAGCTGGTCTATATGCAGGAAAACATAGCACTAATCCCAGTGTGGTCTGATGCTCTGCAGGACTGCTTCAGCAGGGGAGGAGGCTAAAAATTGGGCAGCACAGTTGTCATATCCAGGAGAAGGTCCAAAAGCTAAAGGTTCATTATGACACTTGCAAGGTTTTTCCCCACTAAGGTTTCTTGTTCCAAAAGCTAGTAAATCTATAGCAAATCGCTGAGCTGTAGCATTTCCATATCAAATGGATATTAAAACAAGGGAAAACATGGTGATGAAAACAGAATAATAATCTGAACTTTTTATTTCTATAATAAACAAAGCAGGAATCAGGGGAAAGGACAAGAAATCAAACAACCAAGAACTTGCAAGGAAGAAAATTTGGCTTCAGAATTTGGTCCAAGCTGATGCAGTGATGGCAAATATCCTTCAGAGTGAGTTGGGGGGTAAAAGAGTTTGTAAAGAAACTGTGCAGAGAATTTCCCAATATGGACAATGTAGATTTACCTGTCCAGGAGAATAAACACTTCTGAGGTTGTTCAAGTAGATCACAAGCCATAAGGTCTTATGCACCAAAAGACAATGACCATCTTGTATGTGATTCAGGACTGATTTCCCTGACTTGAAAAAAGGAATTTGCCACATGCAAAATAAGCATGGACCATAATGTAAGAACCTCACATGACGAGTGAAGAGTTGTTGGTTTTCTTCCACATTTCTTTCCATTGCACATTTTGGCTGGTCAACAGCCTGCTCTAGTCACACCCAAAACACAGCGGTGGAGAGCCAAGCTCATTTGCCACCAGAAGCGGAAGACTGTTACTGTCCAGACTTTGTGAAACCCTGAGAAGTTGCAGCTGTTGTTTTAAAGGCAAATTACCTTAAATCCACTTATTTTTTAAAGAAGGATTAATTTTAGGAGTATGGAAGCTGTTGGAATAATTTGCTTCCCACTAGGATAGCTCGTTCATGAATGAAATACTGAAGTCTTTATTGTAAAAGGCCGTATAACTTTTTTACATGCATCCTCTGCTTATACTATGTTGCAAAACACAACAAAGCTCTTT